CCCGCAGGCCGCCGCCAAGGGACCTGGGCCGGGAGTCCCGCGGGATGCGGCCTGGCTTGCCCCACGGCCAGGGCCTGGCCCCGGCCTCGCCCCTCTGACCAGGAAGCGGCTCCTGCTCGGGGCCCCAGGGCAAATCTCTCGGGCCTTAAGGAAGTGGCTGGGGGGAGGGGGCCACGCAGCTTATCCGGCAGCCGCTCCGGCTTCCTGGAGGAGGAGTCGGTGGCCGACCAGGCGGCAGCTAGGGGTGAAGAAGGGTCACGCCGGACCCTGCCCCCGCCTGCAGTTCGACTGGACTTCCGGGCGCCAAGGGCCCGCCGCATCCCGAGGGGGAACCACGGGAAGCGGAGCCCCCCACGCACTCGAGAATACTTGAGGGGAGCGGGCTCTGGCGGGAACTTATGCTTTGGAGAATGGGCCCCAGCCCTGCCCCCGACCCCCAAAACTGGGGTCCTCCCCACACTCTTCCAGGGAACACACTAGCACAGCAGTGGAGGGAACACCCGCCCCCCCCAAGAGACCAGTGGGCGTGGAGTGGAGAGACGGACAGAAGGACAGAGGAGCTGGAGAGGAGGGATAGAGCAGGAGGCTGGCCTAAGCCCCTGGGCCCACAACCCACCCCCATACCTGCAACTGCAGTCAGGCTCCCCCAGCTCCCCACCCCCACCCAGACCAGATGCTGGTACCTGCGCCTCAGGAAGCAGGAAATGCCGGCCTCCCTGGGGGTGGGGGGAGGTCAGAGACCTCCTGGCCCAGCTCAGGGCCTGGAGGGGGAGCGACACCTGCGGGTCCCTGGGGAGCGAGCGTCTGGAACAGAGGAAGCTCTAGGGAGGTTTCCGCTTCTGTGCAAAGGAAGTGAGTCAGGGGGTGCGGCGCGGGCGGGACTTGGGCTGGACCGAGGCGCCAGAGGGGGAGACCTGGTTGGCTGACCAGATCCCCTGGCCAGCAGGTCACCTCCCCTCCTTGGCCCTGCGGCTCTTCAAGCCCTGCTGGCTGAGTCCAGGCCCAGGACACATGGTGAGGCGGAGGGCTCCTCCTGCCTACCCTCCCCCAGGACCCCTGGGCTCCCTGCACCTCAGTCTTCCTCCGTGGACCCCCACCTCCCCAGGACATCTCCTCCTCCACCTGACAACCCTCCGCCCAGCAGGGCTCCAGGTGCCTGCAAACAAGTGTGGAGCAAGACAGGTGCAGAGGGGACAGGTAGGGTCTCTCCCTTATTCTCCTCTCCCCCCCTTTTTTCTTCCTTTGACCTCAATCTGGGGGCCCCAGAATAGGGCTCATTTCCTTTTCCTTCCAGGTCCTCCCCTCTTCCTCTGTCCACCAGCCTGGAGCAATCCCCCGCTCCAAGGAGAAGAGAGTACACTCGGAGACAAAAGCTCTAGAACTGGGAAAAGACCCACCCCATCCCACCCCCGAATGTGGCTCCGGGTCCTTGTGGGGGCTGGGCAGCACATTTAGAAACTCTAGGTTGGGCCAAGAGTTGGGAGGCAAGGGCTCTGGACCCTTGGGCCACGTGCCTGCACGTGGGCCCACTCCCACTTCCCTTATGATCTCGGCACTTGCCTAGATGACCCTCCCACTCTGGCAAAGGGAGCTGGTCTTCTCCAAGCCCAGCCTGGAAGCCCTGAACCTCTCAGGATACACAATGCAGCCATGGCAACCTTGGAGTGAGTGGCCTGGGTGGATGTGTTTGTGACAGTCCTGAGTGCCCCTGGCTCGAGACCCCCCCTCCTCTCAGCTGCCACTCTGTACCCACAAAGGACTTCCTCCACTACCTACACCCAAGAAGCAGGACCTGCATGGAGGTGTTGGTCACAGGCCTGGGGCTCCTGTTCTCTCCAGACATGGATCCACAGTTCCTGGTGCTGAGGAACCACACTCTCCCCTCTAGGAGCCTGGCCCCGTGCCCGGGACCTGCTGCCCCTCCTCTGTGCAGGGCTGGGCACTTGAGGACTTCAGTCTCAACTCTCCAGGCCTCAGGGCCTCACCTACCACACGGAGTGCTGCTGCATGTGCAGCCCACACCAGGCCTCCTGGCACCAGGGCAGAAGGTGGCCCTATGGCCCTGCATGAAGGTGGGGGTCCTTCCTCTAACCTCAGAGCTTTTGACACAGGGAGGACCCTGGAGTGAACCTGAGTCTTGGGCTGAGGCCCCTCCTCCAGGGGTGAAGGGAGAGCCCCTCCTCGTTTTTGTCACCGTCTGCCTTTGGCCCCCAGGAGCAGCCCCATCGCGCCCACTTGCCCAGCTGCAGCCCTGCTCTCTGGGATTCACCGTCCATCTGCCGCAAATACAATCCAAGGCCCGAAGCACATGTCCAGCCTCTTCTCCGAGTGGACCCTTCACCTTGCCACCTCGGGCTCATCAGTAGAGCTAGGTGTCCCGCAAACCACTGGCCTGGAGGTGGGCAGACGCGTCCCTACTCCTCCTTGCGGCTTTCAGACCATCTTGCTCTCCTGTCCTCAGACCACGCGGGCCTCTCCGCTGTCCCCTAACCAGGACATTCTCCCTGACTCCCCAACAGCGCCCCCTCTCAGTCGCCATCACTTCTGCAGGAGACCCTTGGCCTCTTGCAATGAGTGTGTGCGCCACCCAAGTTCAGCTGCCCACTCCCACGCCCCTCGTCCGTCCTTACAGTTCACACCTTCCAGCCCCCGACCCTGACCCCCCTCACCCACCAGGTCCTTCTCCCCACCCGATGGTCCTATCATCTCCTGCAGGTGTCCTTAGCGGGACCCTGTCCTCACAGCTGCACATGAACAAGGCTGGAGGAGCCTGGCCGGCCCCCGACCCTGACCCCCCTCACCCACCAGGTCCTTCTCCCCACCCGATGGTCCTATCATCCCCTGCAGGTGTCCTTAGTGGGACCCTGTCCTCACAGCTGCACATGAACAAGGCTGGAGGAGCCTGGCCGCATGAACCAGTCTGTCCATCTTGACCACGAGCCTCCGTGGGCCCTTAGCGCTACCCAGTGACTGCACCAGGCATCCAGGTCCACGCACTGGCTGCTGCCCCCGTGGCTGAGTCCTTTCCTTCTCCTTTGCCCTGGCCCCACTGTCCTGCCTCCCTGGAGCATCCTGCCCTGAAGCCCTGACCACACCTGCTCGCTCAGTGACAGCACAGCCGCCCCAACATCATCCACTTTTCACTGGACTGTGTCATTCCCATCAGCCCAGAAACATGTTTCTTCCACCTTTAAAAAAATTTTTACAAGAGCACTCTCCTCCGAGCCCTGACACCCACGACCCTGAAGCCCATGCTCCCCTACTTTGCTCCCACCTTGGCCCTCTCCAGGCCTCCTCTGCAGACTTCACCTGCAAGGCCACTGCAACCGCCCCCTCAGCAGCCTTTCCCCTTTGGCCCCTCCTCCTCCAGGCCAGGCCGATCCTTCATGGGCTGCTGGAACCCCATCCGCCTGCGCCCCCGCCCCACCTGGGGAGAGCACATCACCAGTCTCACCTGGGGTGACCTTGTTGGGTTTCATAGCGTCCAGAATCACCCCAGTCCTGCTCTTCCCTGAGCTCGACTCCCAAACCCATGGTACATGCCTAGTAGGCTAAGCTCCACAAAACCCAACCTTCCCCATCTTCCCCTAAAGCCTGCCCAGTAAGTCCAAAGCCTTGGACCTTTCCCAACTCCACTGCCCCACACACCCACTTCCAACCTGCTGGAAATCCTACTGGTCTACTTTCAAGAAATCACACCCAGGGCAGACCCTGTGGCTCACTCGGGAGAGTGCGGCGCTGGTAGCGCCGAGGCTGCGGGTTCAGATCCTATATAGGGATGGGTGGTGCACTCCCTGGCTGAGCGTGGTGCAGACCATGCCGTCCCGAGGGTTGCAACCCCCTTACCAGTCCCAAAAAAAAAAAATCACACGCAGAACCCCAACACGTCCACCCTGTCAGCCAGGGCAGTGCCCCTGTCCTGTGTGGCCCCAGCACCCTCCAGAGCCCTCAGCCTGGGACTTCCCTGCCTGCCCTGCAGCTCTTTCAGAGGAAGACACAACAGGGTAAACCAAGATACAGACTTGGTGGTGTGGGGCAGCCCTGCCTGCCAAGATCCTGTGCAGGGCCTTCACAAGTTTGGGGCCCTGGGTGCCCCTGAGGGCGAGAAAAGCCAGGCACAGGCTCAGAGGGTTCCCAAGCCCACCCACACCCCACTGGCCCCATCATGCTAGGTGGGCACTGGTCATGCTCTGACGGGTCTCGCCTGCATAGCCTTGGCCTGGCACTCCATGGAGCAGAGCTCAGTGATGGGCATCCCAAGGAGACGTGATGTTTAACAGCTGAGGTTGAATTCCCCAAGCCACCCACGAGTGCGCTAGGAGCCACACCCGGCTGCCAGCATAGCCTGTGGCCTGGGGCTCACCCTTGGCACTCCCAGGGCCTCAGGTCCAACTCTCTGCAGAGAGGGGCTGCTCACCTGGACCCACAGGACAGAAACAAAGGAGCTGGTCTGCATGTCAGGACACCAAGCCACCCTGCAAGGCTGAGGGGGAATCCCGTGGCCTCACCCTTAACTTACCCCCCACGGCTGCTGTCGCCAGGAGGGGCTGAGCAGGCCAGACTATGGCCCATAGAACACAGGTATTGACTCTCACTTGTGCCCACCCTGGACCTGCATCCAACCCCTGGGGCAAGCACAGAAACAACCTGCAGTGTCTACTAAAATGCCTTTATTCACTTTAGTTGAAAACCTCCCCATGGGCGCCATCCCTGCCCTGCCTGGCAGGTGGAGACTGCAGCTCAGCGAGGAGAAGCACTCAACTCCAAGGGTAAACTGAGGCAGCGGGTGGGGGTGCCTAGGCTTTCCTTGGCCCCACCTGCCACACCCTGCTCCGTGGCGCTATGCTGCGGAGGTTGCCTGCGGGCCCTCGGGCAGTGGGGACCACCCACCCTGCCACATGCCAGGCTCAAGCTGCTGCCTCCAGGCGGTGGCTGCTGTCTGTAGACACCACAACCCAGCAAACCTCATGCTCTCGCCAAGTTGTGCCAGCATGGCTGCCCTGCCCCTTCCCCTCAGACCTCCCCTAGGAGCCTCCACCCCAGACACAGTCAGCTTAGGCCCCCTGCCCTTTGCCCCTGGAAAACAGGTGGCTTTTTCCTAATCCCAATTACTGCCAGTCTGTTTCTGAGACAGCCATGAAAAGCTGAAATGCACAGCAGAAACAAGCAAGCTTTTCAGGGCTGTCTTCCACAGAGTGGGCCAGAGGCCCCACGGCCAGGCACACAGGTCCCATCATATGGGTGGCAGACAACCTCCCAGAACCAGGTGGGGCTGAGGTGTGGAGGGGGTGCCCCGCTCACGGAATGGGACAGTGGCCCATCTGACCACTACCCTGAAAGCAGTGACTGCCCTGATACTCCCATGTCCGAGGGGGTCTCTTCTCCTGGCTCACCAGAGCCTCATTCCAGAAGGGCCCCCCCACTCCTGAGCAGCCCCAGGCGAAGCCTCAGAGCCCAGCCGGGGCAGGCACACTGGGGAGTGGCAGCTCCAGGGCTGGCGTCTCTGCGGCTGGGGCCGGGCTGGGCTTGCGCTGGTCCAACTGCTCCAGCTTCTCGCCAAGCTGGGAGTATAGTTCCTTCACCGCCTCTCCACTCTGGAGGGAAACCCATAGTTACCAGGCAGCACACATGGGACGGGCCCAGGGTCATGCAGAGAACAGCCCACAGACAACGGTAAGCACTGCAAACCAGAGCTATTGCCTGGCATGAGCAGGCCTGAGGCTGGTACTGACCAGGCACATTCACGTGGGCAGCAAGCCTCCTCCCCCGAGGTGCAGGTCAGGGTCACCCACCTGGGCCGTGGGCTCCAGGGCCTTCTGCAAGGCTTCCAGCTTGGCCGGGGCTACCCTGGGATGCAGGTGGATGAGAAGCCGCAGCACATGCCGGTGCACATTCTCCTTCCTGGAAAAGGCCACAGCCCGGTGGGAGGTGGGGAGTGGGAGGATCCAGTAGACTCTGCCTCGTTCCCAGGCCTGGCCCACATGCAGGTGCCCCTCCAGATAGGACACAGCCAGCCCCTTGGACCACTCCCCGGCTATGCCCAGCATCCTGCAGGGCTGAAGGCAGACTCTGGTGCCCACAGACCCTCCTATGGCCCTTCACCTCCAGGATGGTGACACTGGCCATCTCCCAGGCTTCCATGGCCTACCGTGGTGAGGCAGTGAGGAGGAAGCCATCAAAGAGGCTGCGGCAGAAGTCGTCCAGGGCAAACTCGTCGGCCAGTAGCACGAGGTTCCCCGTGAGCAAGTGAAGGAAGATGTCGCTGAACGCAAGGTCGCCAAAGGTCTCCACTGCAATCACAGCAGGCATCAGCCCACCAGGCCACCACCTGCCCCACTTCACCTCACCCACCCTGAGCAGCTGGCGGCCTCTGCCCTCAGGGACCTGTGTTTCAGGGAGACCACTCAGCAGCACCTGCTCTGGGGGGCTCAGACAGGGGTTCCCAGCTGTCCTGAGGCCCTAAGAACAGGGCATTGGCAAGTGGGGAAGGGCCCTTGTCAGGCAGGCGGGTGGGGGGTGGTCTGGGACCCTGAGCACCTGAAACAGGGCTACAGCTTGTGGGCCACAAGGAGGGGCTGAGGAGGGGCAGGGGAAGAGAAAAGGTGCCGAGGACCTGTTACGAAAGGCTTTGCCCAACAGCCAAGGAACCATGGCCTAAACTGACCCCAGAAGAGAGAACCTGGAGACCACCGATGAGAGACATAGCCCAAGGAAGTGCCACTGTGCCAGCCCAGGGCAAGTCCACCAAACCCCCATCTGAATGGTCCACAGCAAAAACGAGGAAAAACATGCAAATCTTCTCTGAAGCCCCTGACACCAAACAGGGCAGAGACAGAGGATCCTGCAGCCAGGCCCCACCGAGGGAGGACAGGCAAGGTGGACTTGGGGCCAGACGTCGCCACTCCCTGACAGAGCGAGAGGGGCCTGGACAAGGACCCACATGAGGACAGACCCAGCTGATGCCACCTGAACCCACAAAGTGACTGGAGCATTTCGGGGAGACCTGGGTCCCAAGGTGCGCTCCTGCCACACATCTTACTGGGCCTCAGTCAGCCTCGTGGCCAGCATGGTTACAGGACATGTGGGCAGGTGCATGGTCACTACCAGGGGATGCACCAAGGTCCCAATGGCAAATGCCCCAATTCCCAAGTAACCCTATGGCTCAGTAGAGGCTTGCGGGGCGGAGGAGCCAGCCTGGGTAGGAAGGACAGCCCTCATTTGAATCCAGACCTGATCAGTCGGGGCTACCGCCACGCATCTGACACAAACGAATCACCGTGAACCCAACGCAGTGTGACTGGGGCCTGTGGTCACGGTTCTTAATAGTGTCCTGCCCCTGTAGCAAGGCCTGCTGAATGTTTTAAGCCACTAAGTTTGTGGTAATTTGTTCCAGTAGCATTAGAAAACCAATGCCCGAGCTAAGAGAATTCAGTTAGAAGGTGGCTGGGTATAAACAATACCCAAGATAACTTCCTCTGTACAGAAAGCCGGAAAACATACACAAGTTACCCTCAGACACGTCAGTGACCAAGAAATACACTTAGCAAGAAACGTGCAAGACCTCTATGAAGAAACCTCAAGGGCCGGCCCGGTGGCGCACTGGATAGTGAGCCGCTTGGGAAGCGCGGCGGCGCTCCCGTCCGAGGGTTCGGATCCCACATACAGACCGGCTCCCGCTCACTGGCTGAGCGAGGCGAGGGAGCAACACCGAGGCTTGCAATCCCGTTGCCGGTCCCCGGTCCTGTACGGGGGCTGCGATCCGTTGCCGGACACGGAAAAAAGACAAAAGACAAAAAAAAAAAAAAAAGAAACCTCAAAACCCCAGGCAAGGCTGAGTCAGCAGGGCCCAGGCTTGTGTGGCGGTGGGGACACCGGATGCTGCAGCAGGCAAAGGCGCTGGGGTTCCACCGTCCTGTGCACTTGACTTCCATCTGTTCAGAAACCCTCTCCAACAAGACCTGCAACTTTACTCTTGAAGGGGTCCACTAGGACCCCTCGCTCGTCTCCGGTCTCGTGACAACCCCTCCCCCAGAGGCTCTTGGGGAAGTGGGCCTGTCACAGCCTTGGGGGGAGGTCTCTCTCTGTGTCTCTCACTCCAGAGACATCTGAGCACCTGAGGAGCTCCACGCCTCTCCCCAGTTCGGATAAAATAAAGGTGGTTCTCACGTCACCTCTTTGTGGGAAGGGCTGTGAGGCCCAGGAAGGCACTGTGAAAATACTTACTCTCCTACTAAAACAGACTGCAGACAGAAACTCAGAAGTGACTGTGCTGGCTGGCCAGCTCAGTCGGTGACAGCGAGAGGTTACACCACCAAGGTCAAAGGTCAGATCCCCGAGCTGGCCAGCCACCCAAAAAAAAACAAACAAGCAACAAACAAAAGCTTAAAAGTGAAACCAAGCTGGTGAAGTCGGAGGTGGGGATGGGGAGACAGGGCAGCCCGAGGCTGTCCGCAGCCCCAGGAGGGCCTGCCCAGGTGAGATGTGGCAGATGCTGAAGTGCAGGCACGAGCCGGCCCCGCCCTTGGGACTCACCAAGCCCTGGCAGCAGGCGGAGCAGCGCATTCTTGTTCCTCTGCTTGGTGACGTGCAGGACATAGGACAGCCCCACCTCACAGGCCATGCGATGCTCCTGCAGAAACCTGCGCCCACAGGCACCCTCAGCCCTGGCAGCCCAGCCCAGACCCCGCCCAGCAGCGCGTCCACTCACAGCCGCAGTCCTGACGCCCCTCCCACCCGCTGCCCCCCAGCCCGTACTTGGTGAAACTTTCAGGAAGCGTGTTTGGGTACGTGACTGGGGCTTTCTCCTCGGCTGGAAGCTTCTGGTCCACATTGAAAGTGTAGTCATCCACCACGAAAGACATGAGCATCGGCAGGAACCTCGTGATGAGCTCTACCTCCTGACAGGTGGGAGATCGTGAGCCCAGCCCATGCAGGTCCCTGGCCCTCTACCCACCCCCCACCTCTGTAGTCCACTGGCCCCGCTCCAGCGCACCTTTCTCACATCCAGAATTTCTGGACATGAGCCCCCAGGTCCCTCCTTCCAGCTTCCCAAGACCTCTGCCTAGTCCTTGAACCCTGACCTGGCATGATCACAGCCAGCCATGCAGAGCCCCTGCTGGGCCAAGTCCACCAAGGAGATGCCCCAATATACCCCAGGTGGCTGTTTTCCCAAAATGAAGGTGGGCATCTTCAGGTACAAAGCTTTGGGACCAGACAGACCTCGAATTATCACCTAGCTCGCCCCCCTCCAGTACAGCCCACAGCCTCTCGCAAACGATCCCCTGGGTCACATACCATCTTGGGCTCCTTGAAGACCTGGCTGTCGATCATGTCCCAGGCCCCCTGGCCCAGCGCCAGCAGCCGGAGCAACAGCAGGAGGTCGGGACTGTCCTGTGGGGGCACAGAGACCTCAGCACACTCATTGGAGCTTCCACCCTAAGCCCAATTCTCCTCTGACCCTGACTGTTACTCAGCTGAGTCACTGGTGCCCAGAAACAGGACTCCAGGACTCTGACCACAGGCTCCTTGTGCCACCACATATGGGGTGAAACCCAATCCCACACATGTAGAGCGCACAACCACCCAGAATGGCCAGCGTTGCCAGCCCGCGCTCACCCTGGGCAGTGTTTCCTGGCCAACCAGCTCCTGCAGATGCCTGACAGTGCTCAGTGACAGCGTGTTGATGGCGAAGGGGTCACACAGGATCATGGACAAGTCGCTGCAAGAACAGGCCTCAGCACTAGGTAGGGAAGCCCAAGGTGGCCCCAGGCTGGGCTGCAGGACTCAGAGAGTAGCCCCAGGAGCCAGCCTCTCCACGTGGAGCAAGCTGATTCCATTCTGGATTTCTTTCAAAGAAAAGCTTAAGGTTCATAATTTATCCTGAACTTACTCAAAGATCTTTCAAACTAAAGAATAAGGAAATTTTTTTAAAAATTTGATCACATTTTAGTTGTGAAAACCTGACCCACACTCTCCAAATTCAGTGTCCCACAGAGACCCTTCTAACAGAGAGAACTGGCAAGGCTGGACCAGGCAGCACCCTGTCCACTCGCCAGCCGGGACCCAAATCTGGCCACCTCCTGGCATAGAGTGCCCCAGGACAGGGACTATAACCCCTATGATGCTGCAGACACCACAGTCCCCAGCCTCTGGACACCTGGCTGCCCCTGGAACCGTGGGTCCCACACTCTGCAGAGATGGGAGTACCAGGTGTAGTTCTGCTAAAACAGGCTGGAAGAGCCCCCAGCTACCAATGATGGGACAAAGTGTGCTGCACTAGCTGTCTGTGGATGGGCTCTGGGGCCCGGGGCCCTCGCAGAGCCAGCCCTCACCCCAGGACCTGCTCCTGTCCCTTCTTCACTCCATCAAGGAACCCCTGCAGCTCCCGGGCTCTCTTGCTGTCCACGAACCGCTCTCGGATACAGGCGTCCAGGCACCAGGTGAACTACAAGGAGGAAGCACAGTCAGGTCGTGGCCCGGAACCTCCGAGGATGGCAAGAGTCAAGGCCCTGAAGACAGCCCCTCGCCCCTTGCTCAGGCACAGCAGCTCCTGGCACCCAGGCCTTCATGCTGGCAGGGCAGAGCGTTCCCTACTCCTCAGGCAGGCATCAGTGCCATGAGAGCCATAGCACCAAGGCCCAGCAGGGCACCTGGGCCAGGAACAGGACGGGGCAAAGATAACCACAGGCCAAGGCCCAGGTCTCCACACCAGGCCAAGCCCAGGGAAGACAAAGGTATCCCAAGGGACCACCAGGTCCCTCCCCACACCCATGCTGCCCCCAAACACCAGACATCAGGAGCGCAGAGCCAGGGTGAGGTCATGCCCACTGTTCACCCTGTCACCGTCCAAATGCATTTGGACAAACAAGGGAACCCAGTGCCTGTCCTCCGGTGTCCAAATGGGGATAGGTATGTAGACAGAAGGCACGGCTGAGCCTTCGTGGAGGAGGAGGGGCTGCAGGAAGCAGGGGGTGTCCTTCCGGGGGGCAAAAGCAGCTGGGTCAGGACAGCACGTGGGGAGGCGATACTTGTTTGGAGACTCCCTCGCAGCTCCCAGGGTAGGCTGGGCCCTGCAGTGCTCCCACAACGTGGGGCTCAGAGCATGACATCACCCAGTCCCCGGAAGACGGTCTCAGGCTGCAGCGTCCACACTAGGGGGTGAAGGGCAATGCGGGGAGCACCTGGAGCCTGGCCAATTAGAAGCCAAGGGCTAGGGCCGGCCTGTGGCTCACTCTGGAGAGTGCAGTGCTGATAACACCAAGGCCATGGGTCCGGATCCCTACATAGACAGTTATTTGAGAAATTTTATTGAGAAGAGCAGCAGAAAACTATAACTAGGAGAATATGGGGTCAGGAAAGATTACATTTGGTTTGCTATCTTTTACTTTTGTATCTTTTTTGTATTTTTAAAAGAGAGATGTAGGGACCAGCCCATGGCTCACTCGGGAGAGTGTGGTGCTGATAACACCAAGGCCAAAGGTTTGGATCCCATACAGGGATGGCCGCTTAGCTCACTGGGTGAGCGTGGTGCTGACAACACCAAGTCAAGGGTTAAGATCCCCTTACCGGTCATCTTTTTTTTTCTCTTTTTTTTTTTAAAAAAAAGAAGAAGCCAAGGACTGTGGGGCAGGTGGGGCCAGAGGCAGACTGTAAAGACGGAGGAGGCTAGGGCAAGGGTCCAGGCACAGCCATGGGGCCTGCACACCGCTGGACGAGGGAGACAGTGGGGACACTCTTCCATCCTCCAGATGGAGTCTGCAAAGGGACTGAGGGGCCAGCGCACGACACGCAGCTGGATGGACAACAGAGCTCGAGAAAGGGGCTTGGGAGTGGCTGGGGCACAGGCGCTAGCTGGCCCACCTGCATCACAAGGGAGGAGAGCCGCCGAGGAGGAGCCAGGAGCAGATGGGCACGGGACTACCTTGTGGCAGGGGTCCACGGTGCAGATGTCACCGACATCCAGGTCGTGCAGGGACATGAGCAGCTCGGCCCGCAGGGTGCAGTAGTGCACGTTCCGCGTGCGGAGGAAGAGCGTGCGCAGGAACTGCAGTACCATGTCGTATAGCTTCACGTTCTTGCCCACCATCTGCGTCAGCTTCTGCACCACCTAGCGGGCGAGATGCAGCCTTCGAGCCCAGGAGCTCCCCTGCCCACCTCGGCAACCGCACTGCCCTGCCCCGGCAGACCTTCCCACTTTTCTGGCATAAAACATTTCTTCCTCTCTCACACAACACTGGCAGCCCATCTGATGGCGCAGGCTCTGTTACTTTTAAGGTGGCAAATCCCACATCAGTCTCCATGGTTCTCTGAAAGGCCACTGATCTGTGACCCGTTGTGACCCCTACTGCATGCCACAACCCCTCACCTACCCAGTCAGGCAGAGGCAGCTAAGGCCCACCCCTTAAGACAAGAAGAGCCCTGCCAGTGTGGGAGACACAGGCCCTGATGAGGACACGTGGGCACAACCTTCTGGGCCTGGTCAAGGCTTGAGAGACCCTGCTGCTCTCCATCTGAGGGCATCCACACCGGCCCAGGCTGACTGGTGACCCATCTTCTGCCTTGCTGGAAGCCACGCAGCTATCCCTGGTCCCACCACCAGCATCCAGGGCCACAGAGCACAAGCCAAAGCCACAGGGGTCTGGAGTGCAAACACCAACTGCCAAGTCTTTCCCAACCCGCAACTGAATGGCTGTGTGGGGACACAGCTGCCCTCCCCGTCTCAGGGGTCACCACCTCACCATTCCCTCAACACAGGACTCAGGCTGCAGTCCTTGCCAGCAGGGAAGGCTCCTACCGTGCAGCTGCAGCTAAGACAAGAAGGCTCTGCTCAGCTGCTCCCTGGCCATGGCTAACTGGGCCTCAGCCCGAGGTATGAAGGGATGCTCAGGGCAAGCCTAGGCGATGGGGACAGAGTCTGACAGGCAACAGCAAGGGGTGGCAGAAGTCAATGACCAGCCTGGCGGTCCACCCTCTAGGACCCCTGCCACGGACTCTAGACAATGGGTCTCGGACCCATGTAAGCAGAGCAGAGGAGGGTTGGGCACCACTCAGCTCCTAACACTCGGGTCTGCAGGCACCCATCTCGGGGACACGGTCCTCGCTGCAGATTAGACCCACCCCGCCCCCATGGCCCCACAGCCTGAGGTGATCCCAACTGTCGGCACAAGGGAACTGAGAACCTCTAGTGACAAAAACAGCTGATAAGTGCTGATCCCGACTATGGGCCGCACCCACTTCACACATGAACAAAAGGGGCCAGGCAGCTCAGCGCCTGCCCAGAGGCCAGGTGACCACAGTGAGGACTGCAGGGCAACCTGTTAACCTGAATCTCCCTGTCACAGCCTCGTAAAATCAGAGCATCAAGAATAAAGACTGGAAAGCTCCCAGAGAGAAAAAGTGGGACCACTGGGCTGGTGGTTAGAGCACAGTGTTATAACACCAAGGTCAGGGGTTCAGATTTCCGTACCAGCCAGCTGCCAAAAAATACATAAATAAATTTTAAAAAGCAATGAGAATCTGAGAAGCTTCAAATTTATGGGCAAAAATGAGTGCTAGAAAACAGTAAGAAACACACTTTTAAAATTTTGAAACTAGAATTCTAAATTTAGCCAATCAAGTGTAAAGTCTAAACAAAATAAATTTCAGGTGTATTAGAACTCTGAAAGCTTACGTCAGAGTTTTCTGAGGACGTATCCCAATAAAATGAAGATGAAACCAAGAAAAAGAAAGATAAGGGGCTGGCCGGTTGGTTCACTTGGTTAGAGCATGGTGCTGATAACACCAAGGTCAAGAGTTCAGATCCCATACCAGCCAGACACCAAAAAAAAAAAAAAAGGAAAGAAAAAGAAAGCTAAGAAACAGAAGAAACAAGGCTGGCCCGTGGCTCACTTGGGAGAGTGCGGTGCTGATAACACCAAGGCCACGGGTTCGGATCTCTATATAGGGATGGCCGGTTCGCTCACTTGGGAGAGCGTGGTGCTGACAACACCAAGTCAAGGGTTAAGATCCCCTTACCGGTCGTCTTGAATAAATAAATAAAGAGTGAAACATGAAGAATTCAATTGCAACTATACTAATAAATTATTTGGAGAATTGAAACTTTGAGGACCAAACAGAACTTCCTTTTTAGAGTCGCTTTTCAAATGGCCTTTCTGTAGACTTAAACCTTATTCACATATTACTTTGTTGACAAGCAAAATACACACAACCACATGTCTTTTCAACCACGTGTACAAGCGCACCCTTTCTGGAGCAGAACAACCCAAACACTCACAGGGGAGCGCTGAGTCAACTGCCAGGCAGCTGGGGAAGGGGCTGGCCATGGCGTTTCTCGGAGTAGCCCCGACTCCTCCCTTCCTCACCTCGCCCTGGCGCCTGGTCTTGGGAGAAGGACTGAAGAAGTTGTGCAGGACAGAGAGCTCCGTGCTGAAGAGCGCACTTTCCTTCTCCAGGATGTACTGCTTCAACAGAGGGGAGACCTCGTCCCCGAAGAGCGCCTGGTTGTCCTGCCAGATCTGCCGCTTCACCTCCACGGCACAGGCTCGGTACAGCTCCTTGTCAGCCATCACCAGCTTCAGCTTCTTCTCAGGAACCTACACAACACCACAGGCCTCTTGTGAGTGGCGCCTGTGGCGCCGGGTCTCCCTCAAGACAGGCAAAGAGGTCTCAGCCCCTACAGAGAGTGCCTTGAGGCCAGCCCTCCCCAACGAGGCACCTGTGACTGGCCCCCCAGGCCCCAGAAGGTACAGGCAAATATGCCGGATACCAATAGCGCTTTCCCAGAAATGGTCCCACACGCCACCTCAAGTGCCAAGCGGCAGTCTCCAGAGAAGACTTGTCTGGGAGAAACCAGCACAGAAAACGTGCCAAGGAACAGTACTCCAGCAGGCAGGTCATCAAATCTCCCAGAGCTAAGCAGCCACCTCGACCGAGCGCACGCTCCAGCTTCCACCAAGGGCAGGCAGGCCCACGCCTGCTGCCCCACAGCCACGCTAGCTTTCCTTGGGCAGGGTGGCCCCAGGACTTTCACCTTGGGCAGATGCTTCATGACGCACATCACCACTGGCTGCAGGGACGGCATCTTGACCAGAGAAAAGCTCTTCTCCAGAAGGTCTTCCAGCTTCTTGTACCTGGGACGGTGTGGCACAGGACCAAGTCAGAGTAGCTGCCTGACTGTCCCCCTAAAAGACGATGGCTAACGGGACACACAGGGAGGGGTGGCCCGAACACAGCCCCAGGCCACCTCTACAGCCAAGGGGACAACAACGCTGCGAGTGGATCCCAAGGGTGAGCGGCGGGCTGCCCCTCTCACCTGCCCACATCGGGCAGAGGGAGCCTACCTCTCCTCAGCCTTCCCCTCCGACGCAATGGCCGACACTCGCTCCAGCAGCTTGTCCCGCAGCTCGTCAAACACCGACTGGTGGAACTCCAGCCGCGGCGTCCCATGCAGGTCCAGGAAGGGCAGGGCCGACTGCAGCGAGGGCAGCAGCACGCCGTTCTCAGTCTGCGGAGGCAGAGGGTCAGGGCGCGGCGGGGACACCAAGGCCGCCCCGGCAGCGGGAGGCACGTCCAGCACCGTTCCCAGCCGCGCTGGCGGAGCGGAGCACAGACGGGCAGAGGCCCGGGCCCGGCGCGGCCCACCTGGAACTGCTCGATGGCCTTCAGCGGCTCCGTGCAGTTGGTCAGCGTCTCCTTCAGGTCCTCGCCGTTGGCGACGCCCAAGTCCTGCAGCCCCGCGAACATGGCCGCGGCCCCGGCCGCCGCCCGGCTCGGCGCCCCATCCCCGCCCCGCT